TTTCAGTTTGTTGGGATTTGCGTTTGCTCGCTGCTATTGGTATGTAGATGCCATTGATCTTTTATAATTTTAGGAAATCATGTTTGAAAAAAAAAATAAAAAAAAATATTATTCGAGAACTAATTACTTTTATGAGTCACTTCTGTTGAATAAAGGTGAAGAGCACAGCTACAAATATTCGAACCTCTTCTTTTTTCTTAAATAATCTGATGGTGTGTACAGTAATAAACCAAATATGTAATTTTGAATGCTTCCACCTATGGATTCATTTACCAATTGAACTTTTTTTAATCTTAAACAAAAAACCGTCTATTCTTAAGAGGCGCTAAAGAGCAGGAGGTATTCTACATACACTAGCGGCCCCGCATAACTTAACACCACTATATTTTTTGTAAATAAATACAAAATTTTTTTTTTTTTTTTTTAATACATATATGTCAAACATCTTAAAAAAAAAAACGTTTCAAACTTTGTACACAATTAGAAAAAAACTTATAAAATTTTCATAAAAATTTCAAAATTTGTAGTTTTATACATATATCAGTACCAGGTTGACCGATCTTTGCCTGGAATGCATACACTTTTTAAAGTTTTCAAGGTTTGGGTATCAAATAATGGTCAGTTGAATAGCTTTAGATTAAAAATAGTTTTTATGTAATTTTGGAAATTGAATTTGGTATTTAACATAACGCCTATCCGATACCTCTCTGCATACAATTTATATCGATAAAAAAATATTATCAATGCGTTAATATTTTAGCCTGAGAAGTACCTCAGTATTAAGTGCAACAAAATGGAAATAAAAAACTTTGAACAAATATTGTTAACTAACAAAAAGATAGTCAATATTTTCGCTGAGTCAGTCCTCAGAATTCTACAAAAATATTGTTTTTGAAAGAAAATAAAAAAAAATACTTTTTGAATCACACAAATTTCAAAAATATATGACATCAAAAATTAAGTGGCAAACCTATTAAGAAAAACATAGTTAATAGTTTGAAAAGTACATATTTTGAGTGCAAGTGCGCTGTGTATGCATACATACATACATATGTACAGTAGGGTGGTCCAAAATTTTTCTTGCTGCCACCCCCCAGAACTGAATGCCATTAATATTATTATCAAACCCGTTAAAAATAAATATTTTTTGTACGAATAAAACTATTTCCCTCCAGAAGTCTTCAAAAAATAACACTATGATGCTTATTTAACTTAAAAATTTTACTAGTAGGTCTATTCTGCGCTGGTAACAAAAGTTATGTAACCGGTATAAGAAGTGGTGTCTGTCGATTTTTAACCTCTTTTCGCATTCCGTGCACTTTTCTAACCAGTGAATTTTGTTGCCAACTTATAAGCTGGTAACAAAATATTATCCCTTGAAATATGCATTACCAACGTATCTAGAATCGCGGTGATAAATATTAGTAACATTTTTTGGTAATAAAAATTTCCGGCTACAAAATCAGCAGTAACGTGCAGAATAGCAAACGCGCAAACAGCTCAATGGATGTGCTTATTTTTTCTTCATTCTAATCAATTATTTCTGTGGTTTTATACCTTTAATTTGATATCCACATACAGTTATTTTAGTTAAATTTTGTCGAATCGAAAATAAGTGGCAACCTTACAGTAATATCTGAAGGGAAAACATTTACTATATAGGCAAAACATTTTTAAATGCTTTATTTTAGCACCTGTAAAAGGTAATATCTATTGTACCTTAATTTCTAAACAAAAAATAAAAATAAAACACTATGGAAAATAGGCGGCAGCCCTATTCAAAAATATTTCTCAATTGGAGATTTTCAAAACACTTTCCTTTCCTTGGTACCCATATTATGATGTGTTATTTTGTTTGTAACTAATTTCGAATAGGTGGCAACCTGATAAGAATATTTTCGGAGATAACACCTATATAGATAGCCTTAAAAGGCAAAACTATTAAAACTAGCAGTGAATTGTCTAATTTTTGTGTTTAACATAAGTGTATTGAAATGTACTGATTTTTTTTAGCGCTGAAAAAGCCGAAAGTACTGAATTTTGAGAAAATCTGGCAACCCTATATCTAGGTGACCTTAAAAAGCAAAACATCTGAATACAAAATTTCAACAAAAACGTTAGAGGTGTTTCCGAGAAACCTGTGGATATACATATATATACATTTACATATCGTCGCCTGTGTAAAAGATTGTCGTAAGCGTCATAGAAACGTGCGTAACATACGACAATCTTTTACCCAGGCGACGATATATACTACAACTGCCTGTTTAAATTAATAAGATAAAATTTAATTATAGTACAAAAAAAAGCAAGCTTGAAGGTTTTTGAAATTTTTTTTTCGTACGATATTGCGCATTTTCCCTCACATTAGAAACTGTGTACTTTTAAATAAACGAAAATTCTTTACCACTTAAAATTTTCCCATTATTGTCCTAAACATGAATGGGCTATAATATAAAACTGCATACCCGAAATTTTCCAAAAAACTTTGATTAAAAAATTTTAATTTTTATAAACTTTTTCTAAATTTTGTGAAACTTTGAATCTTTTATTTATATATGTAGTAAGTAGTTTTCTTTAGTGTGAACTATATTTAAATTTTTTTATAAATGCAAGAAATCTTCCTTCATAAAAAAAAGTGGTGGTAAGTTATGCGTGGCTGCCGGTGTAATTTGTGTGAAAACTGCAAGACACACATGCTATGAGGAGGCTGGCAAGCTTAATCAAAACAAAAATTGTATGAGCAATTTAAGTGCTTTAAGTATACACAGAAAACCCGGCAGATTGTTATAGTAAGTACAAGTCGATTTATAAAAATTATATAATAACTGTTTTGCGAACCAAGAAAATATATTTTTTTGTCTTTCCGCTCATTTTATTTCTAAAAATTGTTAAGTGTTAATTAAGTTAACATTTTTTATTGCCTCGTTTAGAAGAATGGCAGTAGCAAAAAGCTTCATTAACGCTATTTAAAATCTAACTTACTTACGCACTAACGAACTCAAACTTGGTATTAGGTTTTTTTAGTTTTTCTTTATTAAAAAAAAAACGTAGTTAATACATAATAAACGTACATACATACATACATATGCATTGACAGTATGTACTACATATGTACATTTTTACATCTGTTAACATAAATTAATGTAGATGTAATAAGTTTTATGCGCTGTAATTAAGTTTTCTGATACAAAGCTAATCTACTACTATACATTGTTTTACTACCACTACCTTTTGGTGAATGTTTACTATACTCTCAATTTTATGCGATCATTAAACAGTTGCTAGCCAATAAAAGTTATAAATTATGTACATATGTATATATGTACACATATACAGTGACTCAAACAAGTGTTCACGCGTTGATTTTTTTTTTTTTAATATTCGCAATATTTTTCAAGTAACTTTTTTCTGGTTATTTTTCCATACAAATTTTTTCGACACTTCATTAAAAATGTTGCCTTTTCATTATCCTCTCCTTAATATTATTTGCGTAAAGAGGGCAATGAGAAGATAAATTTTTCGGTAAGAAAGAAAACGCCATAAAGATTCAGATTGAAATTTAATGAAAATTGTTGAATTTTCTCGAAAAAAATTGTTGTACTAATCTTTAAAGGGAGAAGTCCCAGATTAGTTTACATGGAGTACAATTGTGCCTTAATTAGTCGCAACTTATCTTATTCGAGTACAATTGGAGACCAATTAGATCACCGACTCATCTCTTTCGGGCAATAAATGATTCAAACATATATACATATACATTAGACTGCTCACTACCCATACAAAAAAATCGGTACTATTTTTCCATTGGAATTATAAAATCTATTGTATTTTAAGACGTACACCAAAATATTTCGAAAAAATATTAAGATTTAAGTGAGCTGGACCAATTTCAAAATACTTCCAAAAATGGAGTTTTTTATGGATAAAAATAGTTTCTTAATTTTTTCCCCTGTTTATTTCCTTGCTAATAAACTCATGCAAAGGATGAAAGAGAAAGGTAGGATGAACGAACGTCATTCAAAGTTGAATTAAGATGTGTTGGTATTTGAAAAAAAATATTAGGACACGAATGATGTTTTTTTTTTGGACAGAAATAAAAACAGTGTGAAAATACCTTTCTACCGAGATCCCATAAGTCTAAATCAGAATAGTTTTGGCCCAGTTATTCAAGTTTTTCGTAAATCAATCTGTGAAAAAAAGTAAAAAAAACAGCTTCAAAAATCTCATTCTTACGATTCCGTTGAAAAGAATTTTAAATATTTTTATGCAGATTTTTTAAGCTTAATCTGTTTTGTCATGTGAGGGGACTTTTTCAAAAGTTCTTTACGAAACTATTTTTATTCATAAAAAACTCCATTTTTGGAGGTATTTTCAAATCGGTCCAGCTCACTTAAATCTTAATGTTTTTCCCAAATATTTTGGTGAACGTCTTAAAATATAATAAATTTTGTAATCCCGGTGGAAAAACCGCAACTTTTTTTGGTGATGCAGTCTAATATACATAGTAGATACATATGTACATGCACTTATGCGACGAAATTTCAGTTCAGTGGTCCTAACCACTCAGCTATAGCGACAGTAATAAATAGTTCAAACAAAGAGTTCAAAAGTGGTCCTAGTTGTAGTCCTCGAGTCAATCCGAAATGGAAGCGTTTCTCAGGGTCGCTGGATATTCTGAAACAAAAGTTTTTGAGTATTCTAAAGCTTAGTTTTAAAATTTCTTTTTTATGAATAGTTATTCATTATTTTTCATTGAAATTTCATGAATTTAACTTAAGTTACTCAAGTTTTATTTTGCTTAATTTAATTTTTTATTTTCATTTTTTTTATTGTTTTATTTATTTATTTTTTTAATTATATTTTACTTTGCAATATTTTGTTTTATCCTATACATATATGTTTACTTTTTAACACATTTAACTAGCAGCATTAATATGTCCATTGCTGCCTGGAAATGCTCTATTGTTGTTGCTCAAACAAAATAACGGACTGATATTGCAAAACATATGTACGACCATCCAAGTTGTTCTAATTTAACATTTGCTTGGCAAAAGCGCTAGTTTTATAAATTAAAATAAAAAATTTAAATTTAGAAAAAATGCCAAGTGAAATAATTACATTGCAGCTAGGACAATGCGGAAACCAAAGTAAGTTGAATAATTGAAAGTAATTTTACCAAAGCTTAGCAAAAATGTAAAGGAACTAACAAAAGCTTCTTAATATTCAACATAACCATTACAAAAGTTGGGTTTGAGTTCTGGAAGCGGCTATGCCTGGAGCACGGCATTTCACCGAGCGGTGTTCTAGAAGATTACGCAACCGATGGCTTAGATCGAAAGGATGTATTCTTTTATCAGGTTGGTTAGTGTAATGCAACTACTATTTAAAAAGAAAACAAAACAAAAAACTACTTTCCACAGGCTGATGATAATCACTATATACCGCGAGCGGTGCTACTTGATTTGGAGCCACGAGTCATACACACTATAATGACATCGTCGCATGCCAAGGTGAGTTCTTTTAAATTCCGCCTCTTTAAAGTATCATAATAACCCCACTTTATGCAATGCACTCTTCGCAGCTCTATAATCCCGAAAACATCTATTTATCCAAGCATGGTGGTGGTGCTGGCAACAATTGGGCTTCAGGCTTCAGTCAAGGTGAGAAGTTACATGAAGAAGTTTTCGATATAATCGATCGAGAGGCAGATGGCAGTGATTCGCTAGAGGGTTTTGTACTCTGCCATTCAATAGCTGGAGGCACAGGTTCGGGTATGGGTTCATATATTATGGAACGATTGGCAGATCGTTTTCCCAAGAAATTACTACAGACGTACAGCGTATTTCCCAATCAGGATGAGATAAGTGATGTTGTCGTACAACCGTATAATTCATTGCTCACGCTAAAACGTCTCACCAATAGTGCCGATTGTGTAGTGGTGTTGGATAATACTGCCTTGAATCGAATTGCTGCAGACCGTTTACATATCGAAAATCCAACATTTGCACAAATTAATAATCTGGTCTCGACCATAATGTCGGTTAGCACAACTACTTTGCGTTATCCTTCTTATATGAACAATAACCTGATTGGATTGACAGCGCCGCTAATACCAACACCACAATTGCATTTCCTGATGACGGGCTATACGCCTTTAACCACTGAAAATGATGTGAGCTTTAATACATGCATATTTATGCGCAATATCATCTTAAAAGTATCATACATTCATATATACATTGAATTCCAGCCCAACTCGAATGTTCGCAAAACAACTGTATTGGATGTAATGCGCCGGCTATTGCAACCAAAAAATATGATGGTATCTTCGGGGCCAGATAAGACCAATCATCATTGCTACATCTCCATATTAAATATTATTCAGGTTCAAATCATATTTTTCAATCAAAATATGCATACTCTACTCTTTGCTTTAATTTCTTTCTATACCAGGGCGAAGTCGATCCCACACAGGTGCACAAGTCGCTTCAACGGATACGTGAGCGCAAGCTAGCCCAATTCATACCCTGGGGTCCAGCGAGCATACAGGTAGCCTTATCACGCAGCTCACCGTATGTTCAAAGTAATCACAAGGTCTCTGGGTTGATGATGGCCAATCATACCGGTATTACCTCCCTATTCAATCGTGCTTTAGCACAGTATGATAAATTGCGCAAACGGGGTGCTTTTTTGGACCAATTTCGCCGAGAAGATATGTTCAAGGAGGATTTGACGGAGTTAGATAAATCAAGACAGGTGCTGGATTGCCTTTCGCAAGAGTATGAAGCTGCAACGCGTCCAAATTATTTACAATGGAGCCCAACAGATACTGAGCAAAGTTACTGAATTTGCCGCACAATTTAAATTTTTTCTATCAGGTCAAAAGTGCAAAGCATGCATAGTTTCTATTTTTGAATTTAATTGGAATGCATGAGATCTTAAGTCTACGTAACTAATTATTTATATAAAATGTTTATTAATGCACCTTGATTGCACCGCTATAATGAACAAAATATACGGAACCGAAACACTCAAAGAAAATAAAAGTCTTTTGCAGTATTACAGTAAAAAAAAAAAACTGTTGGCGCTTCAAATATGTATTCTAAGTGCTCGATCTAGCTTCTGCTTCAATCAAATAGATTAATCTACAGTTCTACGACCCCTTCGAATGAGGTACATCCGCTATTACAAGTAATTTGTAAGCAAAAAACAAAACCGACTTCAATTCTCATATAAAAAAAAAATATATATATATTTCATGATCCAATCATCGGATCTAAACCAGATCAGATGGTCTCAGCACATCTCTGAGATACTACATTTCCGATGCAAAAAGAATTATCGAAATCGGTTGACGTGGTCCAAAGTTATGCGGTAACATACATAAAAAACAAATAAAAATATTCCGACGAACTGATAACCTCCTCTTTTGTTGGAAGTCGGTTGAAAAAGGGAAATGTTCGGTTATTCGTATAACGGTTTTCTGGTGGGAAACTGAGGTCGTGACACCTAAAACCCCACCCATCAGAAAGAGTGCAGTCCAAACTTTAAGAAGTCACCTCTCACCTCCCTGACTCCTCTAAAGACCATTGGGGACTTATTTGAAAATGGGGTGATTTCTGTGGCCATAAGCTATAATCGCACAAGTCGAAAAATCTGAATACGAGAAAAAACCACTTCCGGCTACGCCATCCACAGTATTTTTGCATATAAAAGTGCATGTTTCAAACCGAAATTTTTGATAAATTGCTGCTTGGAAGTTTACTGCTTGATGTTTAAACCTTCTGCTACATGTGTATGTTATTTTTTTTTTTTATTCGGGTCACACGTTTGAATACAATTACCAAAATCATTGTGCAGATAACCCAACCGGACCCCAAGAAACGAACCTGGGCCGTTCCGATAGCTAAACACAGTTAATCCCTAAAAAATTCCTTTCAGTGTCATAAAATTAAAAAAGAAATACCCAAAAAGTCTATAAAAAATTTTAAATCTTGGAGAGACACCTTGCCGAATAAATCTCATAAATCTCGAATGGTTCGAAACAAATTTAAAAAAAAAAAACATAAAAACTCCCGACAAAAATTAAACATAAGAAAACAAAAACACAAAAAAATTCCGAAAAATCGTACTTGGTCGAGAAAATTCCCCTAGAAAATATCGAAAAAAAAAAAAACAAAAAATTGCGAAGGCACGAAGGCGAAGTTCTAAACGAATCCCGAAAGGTCACAAAAGCCTCCAAAAGCCACCAAGAAACTAAATAAAACTCAGTATGAAGTCACAAAAAGTCGAACCAATCAACATAATCCGGAAGGTTCCGATAAAAATTCAAGGAAAATCTCGAAGAATCTCGAAAAAACACGAAAAATCTGTTGCCCAAATTTTGCGCAATAAATCCCGAAAGGTTTCTGAGGCAAAAACAAGAAGTTCAAGGATTTTCGGCGAACGATATTTTCTGTACGGTCTAATATACATGCATACATATGTACATACATATATGTACATATTTGTAAGAAGATATTTAAAATCCGAATTTAAAAATTTTTAATAGCTCATAAATTTGCAATTCAATGAATCACAGTTTATTCAAAGTTATTTATGTATTTACTCTTGTAATAAATTTACAGCAAAAAGAATTTTTTAATTCACATCGGCACCGAAACTACGAAGCGGACTCTCCAGTTTGGAATCAAAAATGCACTACCGGAAACAATTTGGCACCAAATTAATTTTCTTCCCTTTAACAGTTTTGCGACCTCTGTTTAAGTCTTTCAAAAAAACTCTACTGCTCACGGAACACAGCTCGCCAACGCAACCTTGCGTTTTTGTGGTACATATCTGCGAAATGTCATCGGTGACATTTTCAATGTGGGTGTTGTTTTTCGTTGCGTGTTGTTGTTTTTGCGAGAAATTTTGATAAAAATTAGTGAATCAGCGTCAATTTTAATAAAGATTAAAAAGCGTTAGTTAATAAATTTCAAAGTAAATACAATGGCTGCCACATTAAAGCCTTACTTGACTGCAGTTCGCCATTCGTTGACCGCTGCTATGTGTTTGCAAGATTTCCCCTCCCAGGTGGTGGAACGGCACAACAAACCTGAGGTAGAAGTGTGCTCCAGCAAAGAATTGGTGCTTACACCAGTTGTAATTTCACGCAACGAGCGGGAGCGTGTTCTAATAGAACCCTCCATCAATTCAGTACGTGTTAGCATAGCGGTTAAGCAAGCCGACGAAATCGAGAAGATCCTGTGTCACAAATTTACTCGCTTCATGATGCGTCGCGCTGAGTCGTTCATTATTTTGCGCCGGAAACCAATTGATGGCTACGATATCAGCTTTCTCATAACCAACTTTCACACAGAACAAATGTATAAGCATAAATTAGTGGATTTCGTAATCAGCTTTATGGAGGAGATTGATAAGGAAATCAGTGAAATGAAATTGGCAGTAAATGCGCGTGCACGCACCTGTGCTGAGGAGTTTCTTAAACGATTCTAAAAATGTTTAAAGCAATGGATGTTTACATATACATATGTACGTTTTATCTAAAAGTCGCTTAGAAAAGTAAAAAAAAAAATCACTTTGTATTCCAGTAAGCAGTAAAGATTGTATCGGAATGGATATGAGGTGCACGCTAACATGGCCAGCCAATAAAGTATTCAGCATTAAGAAACCAAATGCTTAAATTAATACTATGTGGAAATTCAAATTTAATTTTACACTTTTTGTATTTTCAGTTAAGATTTCTTGGATATGTGTAACCATGCATAAGCTTCTTGCTCTAAATTTTTATACAGCTTAGGATTATTTCATAAATAAAATAGTTTAAATTATGTAAATACAACGCATTATCTAAGAAACAATCCTTATCTTCTTATATGAATTTTTGCTTAAAGTACGTATAACTATTGACTCCACTGCCGATTCATACGTTTCTTGTGCTAAATTTATATAGCTTTGAATCATATAAATAAAATGTGTAGTTTAAATTATGTAGATACAAAAACTTGAAAAACCATTTCGAAACAGCCCATACAAACATTGGAATAGCTTATAGCTCAATTTATATTTAATGTTATCTGCGGACTCTTAATCTATTGCTTATGGGCCAATCCACCAAAGCATCAGTGCATTTTCATAATCTATTATTATGTCTTCATCTTGCATAGCACTCTTTTTAGACTCGGGAGATTCTTCATTATGCGATGAATTCACGAAATGATGTTGCCCTGAAGTTGTAGCTAGTATAGGTAAGCTGGGATGAAAGTTAACTCCGTTACAGCAATCGCCATGCAGAGGTTGCTAAAAGTACATTCATTAAAAAAAACTGATTTTTAAAAAAATTTTGGTAGTTGTATTCTGTTTGGCCATTTTTCGCGGCTTGTAAATGAAAGCTATTACCAAGCTGTACCAATTTCTCGAAAGTTTAACAAAATGACAAATCTAAAGCGAATTATGGTGCTGATGTAGCATCCTACAAATTCGCCAAAGAGTTTTTGGGCAATCAAGCTGGAGAAAAACCATTGGCCAGATACGATTCTGTATCGTTCCAGTTACGTAGACCCCACTGTCGTGGAAACGTAGGAATCCGAATTATCTTACTCACCGCTTCTTCGACGTTGTTCTGTAAATCCCATATTCGTAGCTTTCCCGTGGTATCGCCGCTTACCAGCCAACGCTGCTCCTGCGGGCTTAAGTCGAAGTAGATGCGTTGATTCGTTCCAATATTGCGTGTAAATTCTCTCACTGGCTTGAGATAATTCCGCATATCCCATTCTAAGATTTTGTTATCCTTACGCGCGCCACTAAATAATGACCAACTGTCGCTATCTGCTAAAGCAGCATATCGTAGCCACGTAATACCGCCAGTATGGCCGCCTAGAGTAAATAGTGATCCCAGTTTAGGTGCGCGCAAATCGTAATGATTGATATAGCCCATCCAAGATCCCGTTGTTACAGTGCTATCGTTGTTTGTGGTGAGAGCAAAACAAGAAACAGCTTGTTTCACTGGAAACGAACTCGAGTCACGACCAGGCCTGTTAATGATACATATTTTCATCTTGCCAAAAATATTAGGAACATTACTTACACATTGGTGTCAAATACTTTTATAGACTTTTTATAACCGCCAAAAACTTGTTCACCATCGTTTGAAAATGTGACAGCTATTGCAGATTCCACCTCATCTACACTATCATAACCACGATAGGTGCAACGCAGCTCACCGGTAAATGCATCCCACATATGGATGGGCTCATGTTGTCGTGTTGCCAGCCAGCTATTATTATTATTATTATTACAAGAAAAGTCTTAATCAAAACCATACGCAAAGTAATGCCAAAGTAGATTTACCAACAAGTCACCGGCGACTGGCTATTCATAAATGGATACCATACGTAATCATAAACAGTGCCACCTTCCTTAACATGCACTGCCGTTTCTAGTTTACTTAGCGTCCGCGTCGGTGTAACCTGTTGTTTGGCGCAATCTGTATAGACATCCGACGGTAGCTCAATAACATGCATGCCTGTGAAAAAAACACTCACATAATCCTGCAAAATAATTAAGTTTTCACTTTACCATCTAAATGTACAGGCAGCAATATACATAAGCCATCTGGGGACCATAAACAGCCTTTTGTGTAGTGTTGTTTCTCTGCAGAAGATTTCCACAATCGACGCCCTAGTTCTGTTAAAGCATTTTGAAAGAATTCCTCCTCCTCTACTTGGTATTGGACTTCAGTAGGTGCTTCAACACCGCTGGTTTGTTCTGTGCCGTTCAACATTTCAATTTGTCCCAAGCTCTCTTCGGCTTCCATTGCTTCAATAGTCGCACTCTCTTCCAAA